TATGTTACAGCTAGGTGAAGTTTCCCATGGGAAAGATGCTCGTTAGAGAGTTTTCTTATCAGACTGTCCTTGATAGGCCTTCATCTCAGGACAGCTGGTCCCTACTCCCTTCCTCTCCTGGATAGCTGCGTAATACCCTTACAGTATAAAGTCACCTGCTTCTACACTGGCTCTTTGTCTTACACTCTGCAGACTGGTTGCACTCTGTCTGTCTGTGTGACCCTTTGCAAAGAATAAAACATTTAAAAGACGTCTGGATTGGACTCTTTATTTCAGAAGACTCACTAAAGGACAAATTTCCATTACATTTGGTGTCAGAAGTGGGATGGTTTGGCAAAGTTTGTCTGGGACCTGAGACGGCCGGCGACTGATCAGCCTGGAGTAAAGTGTCTCAGCCTCCACCTCGCTGACTTAAGAGACGGGAGGGTCGACCGTCCGCGCCCCGGACCGTTGCCACTACCATCTCAAAAAAGAGTTGGACCTACGTTGTCCTTAAAAACGGTGAGTGTCTGAAATAAACTATTAAATTGCATTTGTTTTGTCTTTGTTTTTTCTTAGACTTTCAGCTTAAGATTGCTATTTTGATTGTACCATCTCACACGTGGATCCTTAGTTAACAGGGCCGAGCAGAATTACAAGCAAGTTTTTCTCCTCTGTTAACTGGTTGAGCAGGGCTGTGCAGAAATACATTTTTCTCCGCTGTTTTAATTCCTTTTGGGGTTTAAACAGGGCTGTGCAGAAAAAAAAAAAGGAACAAAAAGAGGAGCAATAAAAAATATATAAAATAAATAATAATAATAATAATAAAGTTAAAAAATATTTGAAATAAAAACAGGAAAACAAGGGTTTCTCCGCTGTTCGAGCAATTTTGGAGTCTTAACAGGGCTGTGAAGAGGACCGTTTTTTTCCGCTGTCGACCGCTTTTGCCAGAGTTTGTAGCCGTAAACAATCTGGATTTACAGTGACGACTGTATCTAAGGAAAGGGTTAGAGTCCCTAAAAGACTTGTACAAGCAAAGAAGGATAGTGTGGGAGATGGGAAGTCAAACGAGCAAAATAAGCAAAGGTGAGAGACCTGATTATTCTTCATCTATCATACAATGCATGCAAGAGAAATATGGTGAAGAATGACAAAAACATAGAATTATTGGTGAATTAATTCTGTTTCCTATTCAGTTTGAGGCAATTACATCAGGTAGAAAAGTGATTTTTGTTAAGGGTAAAAAGACAAAGAAGATTTTAAACGTAAGCATTTGAAAGCGTCATGCATGTGGAAGATAGGATCAGAAAGTAAGAGAAGGCAAAGGAAGTATGCCAAATAAATGCCTCACAATGAGGGTGAAGGAAAGTGTGAAACATAGAGAGACATACATTAGAGATGAGGTTATGTGTTGGAGTAAAAACTGGTAAACTGAGGGCTGATCCAGTCCTGGACTCCGCTCCTCCTCCTCCGATACGCTCCAGTCCCAGATCCATCCAAGGATGAAGACTACGCTGATGTTAAAACTGCTGCTGAAACACGACACCATAAGCCAGAGAGAGATGATGAACTAATGCAACATTAAAGAGCTACAGAAGCACTGTTCTGCTCCGGTAACAGTAATGCAACACATCGTATTGCCCAGTCATGGAAATGCCAATTATAAAAGGAATATTTGGTATTTGGAACATTGTTGAGGCGACGGGTCACGTGACAGCCTCACATGCAATTGGAGCAGTTTGGAGCGTTTATCAAAGGATGCCATAATGACTTAAAGACAGCTGAGTAGCAAACCAGCTCAAACAACAACTCCACTTTGGAGACCTGCAAGATTTCTACAATCTCAACAAAATACTTCACTCTAGTTTCACAAGAAAGTAGGCTGGAGCACAGAATGGACTCAGTACAGCGATGTCATCATTGGAGAATTGCAGGCCAATCACAACATGTTTGCATTCAAGAACAGATCATGTAGAGCTCTCCAAGTTCACACGATCATCACCTTATGGTCACAGCGGTCTGAAATAAAGTTCATCGGAAAAGAACATGTTCTGAGCGGGACAAGGCCAGAAACTGCTGTTGGAACAAAGATGCCGAATTTCACAGCGTCTTAGTGACAGACGAGAGAACCTGCAAGCTGAAGATTCACACAAAGAGGACAAAAGTGAGAAAACAGCCATCAAAAACTCTGTTCTGAGCCGTCACAGTACGAGAAAACGGACAGTACAGTGGACAAAGGTGGACATTGGTACACAGAGATTGTCTGGACAGATCCAAAACAGATCCAAATGGACTGAGCTGGAGGGGGCGGGACGGACGCCAGTGACAGGAAACAGCTGGGACACACACACACAACGGGTGAGTCACAATTTCTCACAGAAAAATTAAATCTTAAACACAATGAAACAACAAAAATGATATTAAGTTATTAGTAAATGCTGATGAGCCTGAACAGCCTACATTGGTGATGAATGAGAAGCACCAAGAGTTTTAGAAAGTGTCATTTAAACCCAGCAGGGGACAATGCTGCTACATGATGTGTTGAAAACAGCCCAGAGAGGGGCAGGTTGCATATATGGCATCATGTTGATGAATTCTGATGACATAGTTGCTAAACACTTATTTCAGTTATCAGAGCACTAATGAGTGACGCCACTGCACACACACACACACACACACACACACACACACACACACAGACCTTTAGGTACATGCAGACAGACTCGTTACTCTGCACAATACACAATTCTGATGGACAGGATGCAACAAGTTTTAATTATTATGGAAGAGGGACAGTGGAAGAAAAAAAAAGAGAGAGAACTATTGCAACATATTATCTGGACAAGGAGGCTGTGCTGTTGTTTTGTTTCTTCTTCTCCTTCTCTGATCTTAGCTGTACCGAGGGGGAAGTATACACATGGCGAAGCAAAGCCAAGTGATTTGCAAACGGATGGATTTGGGGATAAAGTCCACCCGGAGTTGGCTGACTGACAACAGGCCCGTAAGTTGGAATCTGAGAACACTGTACAGTAAAGAGCAAAAAGTCCTGCTCAGGTTAAAAGAACCATTGAACTAGTTCCTGTAACATCTTTTTACACACCGTGGTTAAAACAATAAACTGTGACCTCATGTCTGAGGTGCAAACTGAATGAGAGTCTATAGCTGTAGTTCACACAAAGTTTGATTTGATGTGTGAAATAATATTTACAAATATTAAACATGTTTTCTTTTGTTCACTGCTGCAGGCTGCAGTGACCTGTACGCACCCACATTTTCACAAAAGATTGTGATGAAGGCCGACCAGCAGAGCGACAGAGTGCTGGTAAATGCATTCGTGCAGCCGCGAGCACTACAGGTTTAAAGATTTCACATTATTGGCTACATCACAGACCACACATTTCTCTGTTGGTGATTTGACAAAGGTCTGTTTTTAAAATGTTACATTTCCCGCGCGGCTGGTCGGTTTCCGTTCTGCAGTCCATCACACGAAGCGTGCTGAGATGACCATTGTGTTGCTAAAGCGGTTCGCCCACAATGGCCACACACAAGGCTGTCTGTCTGTCTCTAACTGCAATTCCAATAGACAGAATAACTTCTCTGGGAATGTGATCAGGATGAGAGTAAAGCTCTCTCTCCCAGTGCATACAAGCCAAAACCAATCACCATAAAGAGGTGATGATGATTTTATGGACAAGGGATCCCATTACTGAAACAAGAGAAAGCTTTCTCCCATGATTCATGGTAAACTAACAGTGCACTTGACTGACTTGAACTGACGAAGCTGAGCTGACAGAGCCTCACTGACTGAAATGGTTCTCTATAGTCTGCCTGTACTCGGGGACGACAAAGACCTGACCTGCGTTCTTACTTGACTTGACCGCAGGACGATCACATGACCTGTTCTGACGCTACATCTTGGAAGCGAACCGGATGCCTGGTGCTTATTGTCGTGTTGCTTGCTGTGTCTGTTGCTTTATGTCACGCTGGATGTTTCTTTGTGAGCTGCTGCCGTGTTGATGATAAAATGTGATGCACGCTAACAGACTGACCCCATTTCTACAGGAAAAGAATGCCGCCTGCTCGTTCCTTGTTGTTTGATGTTATTGTTTAAATCCCTTTTTTTTAGCATGGTCCAGAGTTTTGCCCATGCGCTCTCCTCCACAGAGAAAAGGGGGAACTGAATGCAAAACTATGGATGTGTGTGAGGTGTGTTATCAGACAGCCTGGAAGCTCAGAGGCTGTTTCACACACACAGAGCAGAGTGTCACCCAGAAGAACCATGTGACCACCTGATGAGGGAGCTTTTTAGCTAAACCCAAGCAAAGGCAATAAGTGCTGTTGATGATAGTTGACATGTTTCCAAAATGGACAGACATCAGTGTTACTACAGAAACATGGTGACAGACTGAGACCAGTCGCTTTTTCTTTCAGCAAAACTGGATCCAGTGGCTGCAGGGTCACCACGTTGTCATGGCATCACGTCACATTGTTGGTTATTCTGATTTAACCCTTTGGTCCCTCATGCGGTTTCTATGATCTTGCTTGAACAGAAGACCTCTCATCTCTCCACAGCACGTTGGCTCCGATACACCACTGTTCTATTGGATATGCCTAACATCGCTGTCAAACGCTGTAATGTTGTTGTGTAATGTTAAATCCTGCAACTTTGCTCCCCATTCCAGGAGATGGAGAAGATCATAACTGTGTTGCTGTGCTTGAGCAGGTTTGCACTCCACGTCCAGATCTGTCTGAAACACCTCTAACTAACCCAGACCTGATTCTCTTTGATGACGGGTCTGCTTCACGCAATGTTAACACAGGAAAAAATCAAGTTGTCAGCACGAGACACTGAAATCTGGCCCCTTGCCATCTCATTATTCAGCTCAAGCAGCTGAGTTGGTTGCACTCACTGAAGCTTGTAAACTGGCCAAAGACAAATCAGTAACTATTTACACAGATTCTCAATATGCATTTGCAACCGTGCATTAAAATCTGATGGTAAGCCTATTCTGCATCATGATAAAATAGCTGCATTGCTTGAAGCAGTGATGTTGCCGTCTGCTATTTCTGTATGCAAATGCCCATACTGATGCAAAAGACTTTGTTTCTACAGGTAACGCCAAAGCTGATGCAGCTGCCCGCACCGCAGCTCAACAGGGCCTGACACACACACACACACCCCTGCACGCAGACACAGACACAGATATTCCTCTGACATTGCATGCTATGCAACAGTTTGCTCCATCAGATGAGAAGCGCACATGGCAACAGGCTGGTTGTAAATATGCTGATGGATTGTGGACTGGTCCCAATGACAAACCATGTTGACCCAAACATTTTTTTCCACATTACGCTAAATTGACACATGGGTTGCATCATGTGTCAAAGGGAGGGATGTTCGATCAACTAAAGCAACACTGGTTCATGAAAGCTTTCACAACATACGCTCACAACTTTTGCCAAACGTGCTCAATCTGCCTAACACACAACACAGGGAGAGGATTGAGGGTTCCCTTAGCGGCACACCCAACGCCAGATAAACCATCTGATCACCTGATGATGGACTTTATTGAGCTTAACCCGAGTCAAGGCAAAAGGTTCTGTTTGGTCATAGTTGATATGTTTTCCAAATGGATGGAGGTTTTTCCAACTTCAAAACAAGACGGTGCAGCTGGAGCTAAAGCCCTGATTTCTGAGATCTTGCCGCGCTGGGGCGTGCCTTCTAAAATCAGCAGTGACAACGGCACACCTTTTGTAAGTGAAGCCATCAAACCACTTGGCTCTTATATGGGCATTGATTTGAGACAACATTGTTCCTTCCACCCAGCGAGCGGTGGAGCAGTAGAAAAAGAGAATGGAACATTAAAAGCTAAGCTAGCTAAATGTTGTGAAGACACAGGTCTTCCATGGACAAAGGCGTTGCCGTTGGTGTTGATGTACATGAGAACGAGGGTAAGAACTAGGTCAGGTTTGAGCCCGTTTGAGATTCTTTTTGGGCGCCCTCCACGAACAGGGATAGAGGCAGCGAGCAGAGTACCGCCTGACACACATCACTGTGAGAATGATTGAATGACTTTGTCCTCTGCTCTTGCCCGTCTACATCAGCAGGTTAAAGAGGCCCTACCCTCTCCAGCGACAGAACCACTGCACAGTCTCCTAGAGTCTCCTTTTGTGGTGGTTAAGGACTTCAGAAGAAAGCACTGGAAAGCGCAGAGGTGGAAAGGTGCTCCTGACAACATACACAGCGGTAAAAGTGGCTGAAAGAGCTACGTGGATTCACGCCAGCCACTGCAGGAAGGAGCCTGCACCAGTACAACAATAGATCAACAAGCGTGATGCACAAAAGCCACCACGACAGAACACCACAGTGAACTACAGGCATTGACATCAAATAGCAGTGTTGGAGGCAAGAGAAGCACCCAAAGAGGCTGGGATGCTGGGCTAATGTTTAATAACTCCTGCTGTATGTTTGTGCCCAACAATACAGCTCCAGATGGTTCGGTGAACCCAGTGCTGGAAGGACTGCGTTCCCTACGAGAAGAACTTGCAGAGAACTCTGAAGTGGACACTAACATGTTCGACCGGTCAGATTCTGTGTTTGCTAAATAAAAGGCCTTAGTGATGCCCACACTAGCAGGTCTAATGATTGCTGTAGCTCTCTGTGGATGTTGCATCATTCCATGTGCCAGAGGTCTGATTGTAGGAGCTATTGAGAAAAGTGTCTCCATTCAAATGATCACACTCGTCTGGATTGGAATCTTTTTCATTCATCTCACATTTCAGAAGACTCACTAAAGGACAAATTTCCATTACACCAGTCATGTAAGGATTTCCATAAACTTTAGTCACAAACATAAAAAATGTGCTCTGTTGTTTCTACATTTGTGTTGCATAGGTGACAGTTTTCTACATCACATTTCAATCTTAGAATTTTAAACTGCATTTCTTTGTTTTTAGGAAGAAGTGGAAATTAAAGACATTTTGTTCTAATAGCTGATATTTCAGGGTTTGAAGTTCTCCTTGTGAAGCCAGATTACATTGTATTCTACAGATGTTGCCTCAGGAAGGCATTGTTACATTTTTGGTTTAAAAAGTCAACTTGGCCTATCTTTATATTTTGGACTTTGGAGGTCGGTGTGTTTTCTACATTATTTTTAATTAACTGAATAAGAGCCATTGGAATGTTTTATGACACCTTCAGTAATCCAGATTATATCCAACTTATATATATCCAACAATTGACCATATTTGTTTCTCCATCCAGTTGTCCATAAATATAGATTTTCTTTTGCACAACATGAATCTATTGTTCCATAGCAGAACGTTCTGTGGACTAAAATTATGTTAAGAAATCATAGATATATCATATCTTAGAAAAATACAGCATAACTCTTTTTACATTATAGTTAGTGTCGGACTTCAGTTAGAGCGAGTCCTATTCTGCGCTGTGATTGGCCAGCTGTGTATTCAGTTGCATGTGTTCCAATCAGCTCATGTGATGCTGCTCAGCCAATCAAATCTGTCCATTCCAATAAGCATTGCGAGTCCACGAGTGAGATACACAGAGGAAGAGAGGAGACGAAAGAGAAAATAGACTTCACACGGCTTTTAACCAAGAATGTACAGATTCTCACATGTACATTCTTCCTACGGGCAGTTCAAAACCAGAATGTATCTCCAATCCAGGCCAGAGCTCACGTTTCTCACTGAACAAGAGAAAGTAGGGAAGTGGTAGCTTTATAAGAGGGAATGAAAGAGGAGAGGAGGTATTAAAGAGGGGGTATTCTCCTGGTATGCTCCTCTTTTCAGCCTGTGTTGAAGGCTTCGTTTTAGCTATGGAGTGATGCATCTTGTCTCTAAATGATCTTTGTTGGGAGTTGCACATGCTCAGTTCCTAGTTAAGGACTACTAGCCAATCAGAAGCAGAGAAGGGCGGGTCGGCGAGAAGCCGGTAAACAGCTCGGGTTCAGCCGTACGTGTTGCCGACCGGCTCGGCAACATGGACTGGAGCGAGAGTTTCAGAGCGGTGAGTTATTAATCTGTATCCATAAAGTTTTAACTGAGCTCTGTCTCTACATCACAGGAACAACTTTCTGTCCACTGACTGCCTGGAGGGTAGCTAGTGTTTGGAAGGGAGAGGAGAGCTGTGTGCTGCAGCTCGCTGTTTCTGAGGGCGTGTCCGAGTCGCCGCTTGGCGAGCGTTATATGAGGCGCGTTTAGCTTTCATCCCTGTGACGTCACAGGGATGTTTGTTAAGATGTGTTGAGTGTTAATTATAATTTTGGTTGAGACTACACTTTGATCACTCAAAGCTACACTTTAGTTAATTTTGTTTTTCTGAAATGAATTGAGCAACAAATAAAATTAATAATTTATATTAAGATGCACATTTACAAAAACGTTTTTTAAATTTAGACTTTAGATTACTTAAATTTAGAATTTATTATTAGTTATTTATTATCGCTTCAGTTTTATGTAAAAACTGACAGTAAATATGTTATATATGTGATACAGCTAGGCCATACGTTGTGATAGCTACTGAATGATAAAGCAAGTTGATGTTCCGGATGTTTGCTTGGTGAAATTTCTCTAATTGGACCTCTTTGAATCAATATTATGTTGCATGCAGTACTGGAGGCTGCAGTTTCAGGACCCCCGCAATCCCAGGGCCTCAGTTATTTTGCGACAGCGCCATCTAGTGGAGTGGTGGTGGTAATCCACAGCAACATGAAGGAGGTTAACGCTGTCTGCTAGCACGTTGGCCGTGAGGCTGATGTCCAGAGCTGTAGGGTTAACCGGTCGACATGCACATAATTAATAACTTAAATTTAGGCAGACACTCTGTGATGGTTGTGGTAAGGGTAATTGGCTTCGGTGGACTGTCAAGTGAAACATAGCCAGCTGGCAGTATCAAAGTAAACAAGGGTCCTGAAACTGCAGCCTCCGGTACTACAGCTACATACTATATACACAATATTTCCTAAAATTAATATAAGATTTTAGGAAATATTGACTCCACTCAAATGATTTCTTTGGAAATGGCAGCTTAGAGATGGGTTTAAAAATGATTTATAACAACAGGATGTAGAGAGAGCTTAACGACAAGGAACACTAACGAACCAGCGGTATCGATGACCCGGGCCAACAACCCCACTGAGGTTAAATAGCTGAGTTTCCCTGCCAGTCAGTCAGAACTGAAGAAGTCCTTTGGATCTCCAGACGTCTTCCAGTATCTTCAACCAAGTCCAGTTGCCCTTGACTTTAACCTTCGTTGGATAATAAGGCATGTAGTTTAAGCTAACTTTAGCATGCAGCCATAAAATAAGACATGTCGTTTAAAATAAGGCATGTAGTTTAAGCTAACATTAGCATGCAGCTATAAAATAAGGCATTTAGTTTAAGCTAACTTTAGCATGCAGCTATAAGATAAGGCATGTAGATTAAGCTAACTTTAGCATGCAGCTATAAAATAAGACATGCAGTTTAAGCTAACTTTAGCATGCAGCTATAAGATAAGGCGTGTAGTTTAAGCTAACTTTAGCATGCAGCTTTAAAATAAGGCATTTAGTTTAAGCTAACTTTAGCATGCAGCTATAAAATAAGGCATTTAGTTTAAGCTAACTTTAGCATGCAGCTTTAAAATAAGGCATTTAGTTTAAGCTAACTTTAGCATGCAGCTATAAAATAAGGCATGCAGTTTAAGCTAACTTTAGCATGCAGCTATAAGATAAGGCGTGTAGTTTAAGCTATCTTTAGCATGCAGCTATGAAATAAGGCATGTAGTTTAAGCTAACTTTAGCATGCAGCTATAAAATAAGGCATTTAGTTTAAGCTAACTTTAGCATGCAGCTATAAAATAAGGCATTTAGTTTAAGCCAACTTTAGCATGCAGCTATAAAATAAGGCATTTAGTTTAAGCTAACTTTAGCATGCAGCTATAAAATAAGGCATTTAGTTTAAGCCAACTTTAGCATGCAGCTATAAAATAAGGCATTTAGTTTAAGCTAACTTTAGCATGCAGCTATAAAATAAGGCATTTAGTTTAAGCTAACTTTAGCATGCAGCTATAAAATAAGGCATGTAGTTTAAGCTAACTTTAACATGCAGCTATGAAATAAGGCGTGTAGTTTAAGCTAACTATAGCATGCAGCTATTAAATAAGGCGTGCAGTTTAAGCTAACTTTAGCATGCAGCTATAAAATAAGGCGTGTAGTTTAAGCTAACTTTAGCATGCAGCTATAAAATAAGGCGTGTAGTTTAAGCTAACTTTAGCATGCAGCTATAAAATAAGGCATGTAGTTTAAAATAAGGCATGTAGTTTAAGCTAATGTTAGCATGCAGATATAAAATAAGGCAAGTAGTTTAAGCTAACATTTGCATGCAGATATAAAATAAGGCATGTCGTGTAAGCTAACATTAGCATGCAGATATAAAATAAAGCATGTAGTTTAAAATAAGGCATGTAGTTTAAAATAAGGCATGTAGTTTAAGCTAACATTAGCATGCAGCTATAAAATAAGGCATGTAGTTTAAGCTAACATTAGCATGCAGATATAAAATAAGGCATGTAGTTTAAGCTAATGTTAGCATGCAGCTATAAAATAAGGCATGTAGTTTAAGCTAACATTAGCATGCAGATATAAAATAAGGCATGTCGTGTAAGCTAACATTAGCACTTGGATTTTTAGTGCAGCTTGAATAATGTCTTAGGGTGTTTTCTCTCAACCTGGACATTAGAAATTGGTCCAAGAGATGGCTGCAGTGGCAGCGTGAAACAAGCTACAATGTAACATTAATATGCCGCTGCACACCTTCAGTTTCCATCCATAACGTGCTTGTTTTGCCACTGACACGCTCAGATAATTATTCTTAGTGTCTGACAACATTATGGAAAGGATCCCAGCTGAGGTCAAGCTTTTGTTAAAGAGTAAGATCCGTTTTGTTTTAACATGAAACATCCCTGAAATCGCCAAACCCACCAGACTCTATTCAAATTAACTGTCATTTTATCGTCATAAAATACACATTTAAAGTCGACAGGAACAAGATAAAACCTTCACAAACCATCTTAGTTGTCTAAGAAAATAAGAATGTACTGAAGTATAAAGGGTAGCTGTATTAGGAGTGCAAATTACAATGTGATGTCCAATCTCGCATTCATGAGGTATATATAACTTATAGCTCTAATAAAGGCCTATAATTGTCTTATAAGCAATAATTAATCAATTAATAGTTTATTAGGCTTTAATTAACACTTCTATTGTTGTTTATAAGCATCCTATAAGGTCTTATAAGTGTCTTATTAACTGTTAATTACTGCCTATTACAAGCACCTTAAAATAAAGTGTTACCTACGTCTCATTTACAGAAAATAAAGCAAAAACTTTCACATCCTGTGGAATTTACTGGTAAGGTAGGAAGTGGAACAGAGAGAAGTGAAAATCCAGAGCTGCGAGGAGACGGAGAGATTGAGGGAGGAGCTAAGCTGTTAGTGAACTATAGAAGAGAGAGGAACTTCCATATTCAGCAGAGTTCAATACACAAAGCAGAAACATTCCCTTTATTCAACATGCTGTCATTGGACTATTATGTACTTTCTCTACTGTTACTATCCATTCTAACAGGTATGTGAGATCCTGCTGAGAAAGTTTCATTACTAACTTTTCTGGATGGGATTCATTTGTTGAGTCTTTTACAACATGAAATAACAGAGTTATCTCTTCCTTCAGGTGTCAGCTGTGAAGAACTCACTGCAGTCAGGAATGAAGAGTTCACTTTAGAAGGCAGCTCTGTTACTCTGTCCTACACATACTCTAAACTGTCATCTAGTAATTATTTCTTCTGGTATCGACAATATCCAG